GAGGTGCGATCTGACCTTGCTTAGATATTTTTCCATTCGGGGGTCCTTCGTTTGGTACTCCTCCTTGATCTGATTTACAACTAGCTGGGAGTCACTAAAGACCTTAATRTRATTGGCCCCCARTMCTTTGGCAWCGYGCAGGCCTGCTAGGAGTGCTTCATACTCRGCCTCRTTATTCGACGTTCGAAAGTTKAATCGCAGARCATATTCGAATCGCTCACCTCCTGGTGCGAGCAAGAGGATTCCTGCCCCGCACCYSTTCTCGTTGGAAGATCCRTCAACGTAGATYGTCCACSGGAGGTYGGACTTGGCYAACTRAGGTGGTGGAGTGAGCTCTGCGATAAAATCGGCCACTGCTTRCCCTTTCATCGMAGTTCTRGGCTCRAACTGGATGTYGTACTCGCTCAATTCCATTGCCCACTTCATCAGACGCCCTGACGTTTCAGGCTTACWRAAGATATTCCTMAGGGGCAAGTTTGTAAGTACTATGACAGTGTGTGCTTGGAAGTACGRCCTAAGTCTTCGGGCCGAGGTGACTAATGCGAGGGCCAACTTCTCCATTTSGGGGTATCTGGTCTYGRCTTCGGTCATGGCCTTACTGGTATAATAAACGKGGCTTTGGCTCGCACCTTCCTGCTTGATCAGTGMCGAGCTGACGGCGCTATCAGATACTGCYAGATACAAGTGGAGTTTTTCTCCTGGCAATGGTTTTGCGAGTAGAGGYGCCGAGCAGAGATAGTCTTTTAACTGCTCTAGTGCTTGCTCACATTCTACTGTCCACTCGAACGATCCTTTCTTCCTAAGAACCTTGAAGAAAGGAAGGCATTTGTCCGTTGATCTTGACACGAACCTATTCAAGGCTGCAATCCTGCCATTGAGGCACTGAGGCTGCTTTAGAGTCTTGGGCGCCTCCATCTCGAGCACGACCTTTATCTTCTCTGGGTTAGCCTCAATGCCACGGTTATTTACCATAAAACCAAGGAACTTTCCCGAGGAGACTCCAAAGGCACACTTGGTCGGATTGAGCTTCATTTGATACTTACGTAGTACTTCAAAGGCTTCGGTCAGATCGGAAAGATGCGACTTTGACTGCTTGCTCTTAACAAGCATGTCGTCCACATACACTTCCATATTCCGACCGATCTGCTTGGCGAACATTTTGTTCACCATCCTTTGGTAGTTCGCACCCGCATTCTTTAGGCCAAAAGGCATCACCTTGTAGCAGTACAGACCTTGGTCTGTAATAAACGCGGTATGATCTTGATCTGACAAATGCATTTTAATTTGATTGTATCCGGAGTAGGCATCCATGAAGGTGAGTAGCTCGTGCTCGGCTGTTGCGTCCACGAGCTGGTCGATCCTCGGAAGGGGGAAGCAATCTTTTCGGCATGCCTTATTTAAATTAGTGAAGTCCACGCACATCCTCCACTTCTCGTTGGACTTTTTAACTAATACTACATTAGAGAGCCACTCAGGATACAAAATTTCTCGTATATATTCAGCTTTTAAGAGTTTGTTTACTTCCTCAACAATTACATCACTCCTCTCTCTATTTACAGGTCTTCTTTTTTGCTTTACAGGTCGGAATGATGGGTCTATGTTGAGGCGATGCACCATAATCTTTGGGTCGATGCCAGGCATGTCCTCGTGAGACCATGCGAAGACGTCCGATTTAGACCTGAGGAAGTTGATCCGTTCTTCCCTGTCAGTGGCCCCCAGCTTGGTTCCTATGCTTACTTGTCTTTCAGGGCTGAGTAAAGGAACAAGCTCGAGTTCTTTTGTTGGCGGGGAGAATTGCCTTTTACCTTCCTTTGGCAGGTCTGCTTCGGACTCTTGCAGCTTGCCACGATTGGTTTGCTCTTCCAGGACGCATACCGCCGACCCTTTAAGCGCGGATGCATAACACTCCCGCGAGGTTTTTTGCTCTCTCGGACCATGCCCACTCCATTCGGGGTTGAGTACTTCAAGACTTGATGCAATGTGGAAGGGACAGCCCGAAATGAGTGGATAATGGGTCTCCCAAAAATGGCGTTGTAGGCCGATCTGCCGTCGATTACCACGAACTCGGCCATCTGCGTTACTTGGGTAGAATCTTGCCCGATAGTTATCGGCAGGTCAATGCACCCTTCTGGGGAGACCGATTCTCTAGAGAATCCAACCAAGGGTGTTGGACTCTTCTTCAATTGTGACCTGGTCCATCCCAATGCTAGATATGTTGGGAGGGACAAGATGTTGGCAGATGCGCCTCCATCGACCAATACTCTTCGGACCAGGACGTGATCAATCAGAGGGGCGATCACCAGTGCATCGTTGTGAGGCAAGTGGACTCCCTCCAGGTCGGCATCSCCGAAAGTGATGGAGCAAGTGGGCTTCTGCTCCCTGATGATGCATACCTCGCGCCTGGCCTCGCGAGCTAGCTCCTTCCTCTTGTTTCCGGACTGGCCCCCRCTCGGACCTCCGAAAATAGTGTTGATGACCKCAGGTCGGTCATCYCRGCGAGGCGGCGTTCTTGAACGCTTCCTCTCTTCTTTCTTTTCRAYCSAGTTAGACCTCGGTTTGCCCACGAATTTTTTGAAGTAGYCGTCTTGAATGAGGTCTTCAATCTGGCGTTTTAACTCCCAGCAACTTGACGTATTGTGGCCGTGATCGCGATGAAAACGGCARTACTTATCTTTGTTGCRYTTTTCTRGRTCTCCYCGGAGCTTCTMRGGTCGCTTRAGGAGCTTTTCCATCCCAGTYTCCTCAATRTTTGTAAGTATTTYAGAGATTGGGATGGTGGTCGGGGTATAACGTTCGTAAGGTCGGCTTCGGTTGGGGCCACCGTCCGACCTGCGATACTCAATTCGGCTACTGGAAGAGGATGGTCCCTTATCCTTGGACTTGACATTAGGCCTCTTCGTCTCCTGGTTCAATTTCTTCTGGTCGATCCACTTCTCAGGTCGACTAGTTTTGGTTCGGAGGAGCTCCTGTCCATCAATGACTTTTTTCGCCTTCTGCAATACTTCGGCGAAGGTGGCTGGAGCCTCCTCTCCAAGTTTTACTCTTAAAGTCTCATTGGCCAGGCCGGTGAGGAAGTAGCACATGGCCGAATCATCGGAGCAGTGCGCGACCTTCAGCTGCTCCTCCTGGAACCTTGTGACATATTCTCTCAGCGTCTCACCTTCCTTCTGTCTGATGGTGGCGAGGTGAGTTGCTGTTTTTCTGTCATAATGCCGAGAAGAGAACTGACTGATGAACTCCTTTCTCAACTGAGAGTAAGTCGAGATCGACCTAGCCGGCAGTCTTCGATACCACAGGCGCGCGCTACCGGTGAGCGCGATCTGGAAGGCTCGGCACTTGATTGCATCTGTTGCCGCTTGAAAGTCCATGAGGCCTTCGAAGACCTCAACATAATCCTTTGGATCCTTAGATCCATCATAAGGCTTCATAGTGGGAGTTTTAAACTTTGGAGGGATTGGAGCCTCCATAATATTCGAGGTGAATGGTGACTCTCCCAAGTCGCCATCGTCGAACGAGCTCTCATTCTTCTCACACCTGGCTTTGAGTGCCTCGACCTGCTCATCGAACCTGTGTTTCATCAGGTCGAACTCTTCCCTGGTGATCACAGCTTCTGGTGTTAGAGGCTTGTATTTTGACTGAGCCTTTAGGTTCGAGTTCGAGAACTTTCGGGAGTATGAATAAGAGTCTTCCGGCTCCCGAGATGCTCTCTTCTTTTTTTCAGTTAAATGTTTTCTCAGATCGTTATCCCGCAAGCTGTAATCCACTTCTTCAACGTTGGGAATGGGCTCGCGGTCGCTAGGTTGGATGGATGGAGCTCCCTTTTCACCAGGTGCGCCCGGGACCCTAGAGGGAGACGCAGTTCGGTTAGCACGTGTTGCCTCGGCGTACATTTCTTCCATTGTGCGCAATCGATGGCGCATATCATCCAACTCGCGCTGAAGAGTAGACAGAGCTTCAGGGTCTGCTTCCTGGTTGGCCCTTTGAGAGGTCTTTCTCGAGGTCCCTCGTCGGCCTCTGTTGGCTTTTGAGGGTTTCGGGTGAGCAGGTGGTAGCTCTTGGTTCGCATGGCGGGCAGATCTGCGCGACAGATCTCCCTCTTGTCCTGCTCGGACCTAGTCCTCGACTATTCTTGCGTCCAGGTTTCGCTGAGTGCCATTATCAGCGTTCACACCCCTCCGTTCTGTCGTATTGGTAGAGATTGCCGGATGCACCATCGTTGCGTATATTTTCTAGATCAGGATGACTTAAGATGTCGTTCCCCACAGACGGCACCAAATGTTTATGTAGGAATTTGCACAATGGTTCTTCACGAATCGAGCTCGAACCCGGTCTCTGGTTCCGACCTGAACACTAGAGTGGACATGCACAAGAGGGTAAGCACTCCGACGCTCAAGTCAGTATAGATCGGACTCCTTATTTAGTTCGAGGTGAGATTTGATACCTGAGCGTGAAATGAAGTCCTCTATTTATAGGTAATGGATCCAACAGTACACACGGCCGGCGGTTATTTGTCTTTTTCTCATATCGGACCTGTTGGGTTCCGAGCAGGTCGGACACTAGTCAGGTCGAACCTTGGTGCCCATACTTAGTCTTTTATAACGGGCGAACCCGGCCACCTCGACGGGGCCGAGGTGGACCTAAGCAATCCTTCTTATTCGGTTTCTTCAAACACTAATAAGAGTCATCCATTTGTCTCGGGTACGTTTACCCCCAAATAGAGTGCAACTAAGTTAATTTTAAAAAAAATAAAAAACTATAAAAGATGTGAATAATATAAAGGTCCCCTTAAATTAGAAAAAACTTGACTCACGAAGATTCATAACCTCCTCTAAAATACCTGTGCGGTATAGTAATATATAGACAAGTGATTTTTTTTAATTATTTATTATCTTTTAATATCTCCTATATTTTCTCTTCCTCACTCCTTTTTTTTTTTTGGTAAAATACACTTTTAAGTTCATCAGTTTGAGTATAGGTTTCAATTTGGTCCCTGATTCAAAGAGTGATAGTTTAGTCTCGACCTTTAGAAAATAGTTCTAAATGTTCAATGGAGTTAAACTTCCATTAGTGACATTAACAGAATGCTGACGTATCACGGGTGAGTTTGATATTTGTTAATTTAATATTATTTTTAACACTTTTCCCTATTTATCTCTTCTCTTCTCTCCTCCTCCTACTTTTTCCCCCTCCACCTCTCCTACTCTTTCTACAAAATCGATCAAAATAGAGTTCAGACTTTCATAAATTGGAAGCAAAAATCTCAAATTTTCCTTTCACCTCTGCTAGTATAAAAAATACATATTAGAGAATGGAAAGACAGAAAATGAAATTTATGTTGGGTAAATATACGATGTATATATATGAACAGTGTAATACTGACAAACAGATTACAACGTAACTGGTTACAAACAATATAAATTTGAATAACTTGATGAACACCAAAACTTGATAAAAATTGTCGAGACACGCTTCAATAGCGGTGACCTAAAGACAATTATTCGCTCTGCACAAATTGCTAGCAGACTACAACGATCGTCTCAGTAGGATACAACGACTAACTCCGGTAGAACAGCAACTTCGAACTACTCGAATCTGGCAGAACTCTTAGATACTTACTCCCAATATAAACAAGAAAAAGAACTCGAAAGAAAATAGAATTCTTGTAAGAGGAGGGGGAACTCAAATGAGAATTGCTTGATTCCTTAAATGAACACAAGAACAACTATTTATAGTTGTTCAAAACAAGTAATATCTCACACGTTTTTAACACATATAAAGTTACAAGTATATAACTTTATAACTTTAACAAAACAAAGGAAAAAACTCCTTATTTAAACATATAACTTCAATTTTTAATAAAAAGAAATAAATAACAATTGATAAACAAAATGAAACAAAAAATTCACAACGTATATGTGAATTAAAACTTACAAATTTAATTTCTGGATATTAAATTTGTATATATTCAATTGTTTATCAATATTTCAGAATTAACTTCTTTCACACTTTGAAAATCCAACAACCCTTCACATGAAAGAAAGTGAGACAGACAAAACACGACTAAGACGTTGAGAACAAATAGATAAGTTATGCATCAGGAGAGGTGTCTTTTGGATTGAACCTTCCTTAGTGAATATTTATCGAATTTACCGAAGAAATAGTGAGAACTCACTCTGGAACTATCCTTCTCGTGATAAATTGAGACAACAAATATCACACAAAACTTATTTTGTATCTTTGAGTTCTATACGGTTGTGTCCATTTTAGTCATGGACAAAATCCTGAATTTATCAGAGCTTTAGAGAACATAAGCTATTTGAAAAGTTATCATAGAACCGACCCAATTCTACTCTCACATAGTTGATATTGATTAAGAGTATTCTGCAACTACTCCTCTTGTAATCAAGATATCAATACGACCTTAACATCAACAGATCACATACATAGTATCATAGAAATGGTAAGTTTCTTAGTGTGTCAACTATGAATTATCTAGTCAGTTTGCCTATTGAACCTAGATCTTGAGATCTCTAGTCAACTAGGTCAGTTTACCACCAGATATTTCATTTCATAAGCTTTAGCCCCATTTCCCTCGATGTAGTTGCAACTTGCTCTCGTGACAATCCTTTCGTCAAATGATCTGGAATATTTTCTTTTGATTTCACATAATCAATAGAAATTACTCCATTAGAGAGCAATTGACTGATAGAATTATGTCTGCGTCTTATGTGTCGTGACTTCCCATTATATACATTATTCTTAGCCTTCATTGAGGCTGCTAAGCTGTCACAATAAATACATATGGCACTTACAGGCTTCGACCATAATGAAATGTATTCAAGAAAGTTTCAAAGTTATTCTGCTTCTTCTCCAACCTTATCAAGAGCTATAAATCCTGATTTCATAATAGACCGTGCTATACATGTTTGTTTTGAAGATTTCCATGACACAATTGCTCCACCTAAGGTAAATATATACCCATTGGTTGACTTAGTCTCCATGCTATCAGAGATCCAGTTAGCATCGCTAAATCCTTCCAATACAGATGGATATTTTGTATAATGCAATCCATAATCTAAAGTGTACTTCAAGTACTTTAAAACTCTGACTAATTTGCTAGTGTATCTTGTCAATCTTCCTACTAAATAGGCAATATCAGGTCTTGTACAATTCATTAGGTCTTTCATATCAAAGTTAGAATTCAACATCCTTTTAATGGAATCAATGACACTTCTAGTTGTGCACATTATCAACATAACATCCACATATAAGCAAACAAGGACGCAATCTTGATTTATGATTTTAACATAGACACAGTTATCACACTCATTCATCTTTAATCCATTAGATAACATAGTGTGATCCAACTTCTCATGCCATTGTTTTGGTGCTTGTTTCAACCATAAATAGACTTGACAAGTTTACAAACCTTGTTTTCAAGTCCTTTTACAACAAATCCTTCAGATTGTTCCATACAGATTTCTTCATCTAAATCTCCATTTAAAAATGCAGTTTTTACATCTATTTAGTGTATTTCCAAAGCTGCTATAGCAATTAACATCCTTATAGATGTAATCCTCGTCATTGGAGAATAGGTATCAAAGAAATCTAGCCCTTCTTTCTGACGATAGCCTTTAGTCACTAAACGAGCTTTATATTTATCAATAGTGCCATTAGACTTTAGCTTTCTTTTCAAAATTCATTTACTTCCAATTGGTTTACTTCCAGGAGGTAAATCAACCAATACCCAGGTGTTATACTGCAAAATGGATCCTCTCACTATTGATAGCTTCTCTCCAATAAAGTACATCCGGAGATGACACAGCTTCTTGGAAATTTTGAGGCTCTCCTTCTATCATATAAGTTATGAAATCCGGTCCAAAGAAAGTAGCTTTCTTAGCTCTTTACTTCTTCTAGGTTCGATCTCAATTTCCTGATCGTTTTGACATTTTGAAGAGCTAGCCTCATGATTCCTTTTGGTACCTTTACTTTTCGGTCTCTCTTATTCAAAAGGAAATATATCCTCAAAGAATTCAGCTTTAATAGATTCCATAATTGTATTGTCATTAATATTAGGTATTTT